TTTCTACATATAGAGTAACTGACATCTGGAACTCTCTGCTCCAGATATACTGGCAGAACCCACATTAAGGCCAAAATTTTCTAAAGTACCAGTTGTAACCCCCTTTTTCCTCCCCGGGTTACTCAGGAGCAGGTCACACTCAAGGTGTGCCTGGGCACCTTATGGTTTCAACCCAAAAGGAGATCCTGAGCACCCCAGTGGTGATGGTGTTTAGTTGGGGAAAGCCCTATCCACCCCCTTGCTTGTAATGAATGTACAATGGGGGTGCTTCCACCTGGCTGGCCTTGTACACACCCACTGGTGTGCCTTGAGAGCCTCCAGGAATATACTCATTCCAGCTATAATCTGGATCTAATTCCAGAACACTACAAATCATATACATCTAATTGTTTATTTTCATGTAATCTATCTTAATTTAAATAAACAGGGTTTAACAGATTAACAATGAATAGCATTAACAAAGTGCACAACAATAAGTTACATTGCCAATACTAATCCCACCCCAGAGTGTGCACACCCCTGATTACATTGCCAATACTAATCTCACTCCAGAGTGTGCACACCCCTGGACTCAGAGTCCCAGACTCTTGCTTGCCTGGGCGCACTTGAAGAACTGCAGCTGTAGTGGAGGTTCTCTGCAGGCAGTGTGTATGAGGGTCCAAGCCAAGCAGCAGCTCTGTCCCAGGCAGCACTTTCCCAAAAAGGCCCAATTACTTACAGCCTCATGCTGTGCCTATCAGAAGCAGCCTGCTAGATCCCAGTTCCATAGGCATCTAATCCCAGTCTGTAGCTGCACTCTAACAGCCCCTGGACTGGATCAAACTCCTCCACAGCAGCCTGGCTCCCCCCTTCTCTTCCAAACTCCAAGGGCAGAGTCCCAGACTGCTAGGCCTCTCTTTTCATGCACATGGAGAGCCTCTGATCTCCCACACAAGAGACCTTCCTTCCTGTTTTTCCCAAGGGCTCATGGGAATTGTAGTCTGGATTGCAGCACACAGGGTCTTTCCAGAAAAAAAAAAAAAAAACCCAAACACCACAGAGGCCCTTTTAGTACGGGGACTACACAGTTATTTATAGACACACAACATATGACACCTTAAAGGTGCCTGATGTTTCAGAAAATGTAGAACTGGTCTCTGAAAATTAGGGCCTGTAAGGTACCTCAAATTGGGCATCAACACCATTCCTCACTTTGGAGAAGAAAAGGAAAATTGTACAGCAACTCCCACCCCAATACACAATGCAGCTGTCTTCACATTATGAATATCTTCCAAAGCTGGGCAAACATTCTAAAACTCTTCCCATTAAGATGACCCTCCCATCTGGCAAACTGAAAAGATGAGAACAAAGCAACAAGAGATACTTTGCACCAGTAGAGACATAAGATCATTGAAGAAACAACCCAGATTTAGAGTGCTTATTACAATGTCAAATAAAATCAAGTGTTCTGAAGCGATAACAGTACAGCTTCCAAACACCTAAAACTGGCTTACATTAAAGAGTACACTCTTTAATCTACTGTCAGTACTACATCCATCAGAGAACAGCCTGCGACTTGACCACACGAAAGAAGATCAATCAATAGCTTAAGTGTTGGGTCCTAGCCCTTTCTCTCTCTTTCCAAGTGTCAATATGTCACTGTTAGGGTGCGTACTCCCCACCATGCCTGAGTTCCTGACTGTCTTCATCTAGCCCATCTCAGGGCAAGCTGCAGTCTGTACAGGCTGCTCATCACCAGCACTGGGTGAATCTCTGCTGCCCCGCTTACGTGGGCTGAGTTGCTACCATCCTCCAAGCCCCAGGCCTTGCCCCAGGGAGCCCCTTAGCCGGCAGTCCACTAGTCCTGCCTAGCTGCCCCAAAAACTGTTCTCCCTCATGGGAACCTCCTGCTTCCTTCACTACCAGCTCTTCACTGCTCTCCCCCCTCTGAAGCAAACTGTTCTTCTTTATATAGCCCCCAGCTGGGCTTTCATTAGCCCTAACGGCCACAGCTGAATCTTTGCTTCTAGCCCCTGCTCTGGGTCTGAGTTTTACCCTGTCACAGTCACCTAGCCCAAACTTGTTTCCACCTATGTCTTTTATAATAAAACTTCAGTTAGCTCATCTCATTAGCCATGCTGATGGGGGAGGAAAGAGGGAATGAATTTATTTCCCAGACCATTATCTTTTTGCATTCCTCAAAAGTCACTACCAGCTGGTGACTGACCAACTTCTTCCAGAAACTCGGTAAACTCTACTATAACTTCATGCTCACGCACCACGGAGGTACCAGACTTATTTTTTTCATTACTTTTTTTGTAAAGGAAAGGAAAAACCTGAATTGCAACCCCAGCAACATCTATTTAATATTTTACCTGCCTGCCACCCTCTATTTACAATCTTTTCACTGCTCCATCTCTGTATAAAACAGACTCTGGTCGCAATGGACCAAAGCTGGTAGTCTGAGGATTCAGAAGCTTAATGCACCTTCTCATGGGATTTACTTTCTTTGAGACATGCTAGTGTTGTATATGTTGGACAGCATATAGGATTCACAGATAGTTCCAACACTGATTGTCGAGTAATGAGAATGAGCCTTCCATGAATTAAAAACGATTCACCTGGAAAATGACATCCTTCTGAGGAAAGCTGAAGGCACATTTAATATTAGCAGGAGAGGGAGAAAGCTAAACAATTCCATCTCTACCCAGCAAAACACAAGGGCTGCATCTAGACTGGCAAGTTTTTCCGCAAAAGCAACTGCGGGGAAAAGCAACTGCTTTTGCGGAAAAACTTGCCAGCTGTCTACACTGGCCGCTTGAATTTCCGCAAGAACACTGACTTCCTACTGTCTGAAATCAGTTCTTCTTGTGGAAATACTATGCTGCTCCCGTTTGGGCAAAAGTCCTTTTGTGCAAAGCTTTTGCGCAAAAGGGCCAGTGTAGACAGCTCAGATTTGTTTTGCGCAAAAAAGCCCTGATCGCGAAAATGGCAATTGGGGCTTTTTTGCGGAAAAGCGCGTCTAGATTGGCACGGACGCTTTTCCGCAAAAAGTGCTTTTGCGTCCGTGCCAATCTAAACACTCTTTTCCGTAAATGCTTTTAACGGAAAACTTTTCCGTTAAAAGCATTTGCGGAAAATCATGCCAGTCTAGATGTAGCCAAGGTGATAACTGAGAGGAAATCATTGCTGTGATGCTGCAAGTAGGCATTGAACAAAAAGCAGATTAGTGTGGGAAAGTGTAGGATTATGAAGTAGGCAGCATAACCCTTGATTACTGGACAATTTTAGAAAAAAAACAGCCCTATTCTTCCCATAGTTGAGAGGGTTGATAGGTGTTCTATGTGGGCAAATAACACCTTGAGCTGTCTACTTGCTACAGCTCTACCAGGGATAAAGCAAAACTCTAAAGTCTAACAAAATGTCCCCCGATAGTTTTCCACTATTGTGTCTCTTATCAGCTTTTCAGTAGCTTAGCTTGCAGAGTTAAAAAGCACAAATTTGTTCTGTTGTATGAACTTAAGCACTACATTTTCATTCATTCAGTTGGAGAAACTCAGTGGAACAGCTGAAAGTATGTTTATTTTAGATATAGAGATCTGCAGTAGATGGATCAAATTCTCCTCACACTTACAATGGGGTCAAGCTATCAAAAGCCAAAGAGGCTGCACAGCAGAATTTGACCCAAGGTAATTAAGCCTGTAATACAATATGTTTTCATTTTTTTAAATAAAGTGGATCCATAAGCACAAAATGGTATCTTCCTCTTTCCAGCAGCACATTCAATCTTAACACTTACCTATGATTTGCAGCACAAAATGGAGAAATTCAGGGTCGGATGAGTTAGTCTGCTGTGTTGCTTAGTAAACAAGAGGAAAAGTCAGCATTAAGCACAAACAATGAAAGTAATCATTTCTTGCAGCCTCACATTCCTGCGCTGACTTGCCAATTTGGTGCAGGAGATAAGGCCAGCCTAGAAGAGGAAGACCCTAGAAAGATGAAGGAACTCCTGCTTACTACAGATCCTCCAGCATACTTCCCTCAGTGTGTCAAACAACTGGATGCTTCCTTCATTAACACTGGACTCCGCTCATGCTTGAAGGTCCTCAGATTTGTAAGCTCTGCCCCAAAACTACATGCAACTCTTTTAAGTCTATTAGCCCTGTGTGATGGATGGGAGGAGTACTACCCTTTTCTAAACATCCCAGCATTCAGTATCTAAGGGTATGTCTACACTACCCCGCTATTTCGAAATAGCAGGGTAATGTAGGCATACCGCAATTGCAAGTGAAGCCAGGGATTTGAATTTCCCGGGCTTCATTTGCATAAACGGGGCGCCGCCATTTTTAAATCCCCGCTGGTTCGAACTCCGTGCCGCGCGGCTACACGCGGCACGAACTAGTTAGTTCGAACTAGGCTTCCTAGTGTAGCCGCGCGGCACGGGGTTCGAACCAGCGGGGATTTAAAAATGGCGGCGCCCCGTTTATGCAAATGAAGCCCGGGAAATTCAAATCCCTGGCTTCACTTGCAATTGCGGTATGCCTACATTACCCTGCTATTTCGAAATAGCGGGGTAGTGTAGACATACCCTTAGATACTGAATGCTGGGATGTTAACCAGAATAGTGGGCATCCAGGAAGTGTTGGCAGGGAGCCAGAAAAGCCAGTGGAAAGAGATAGAAAGATTTTTGAAATGTTCCAAAGTTAACTAATATACAATTAAGGTATGTCTACACTTGCAACCTAGTTCGAACTGGGGATGCAAATGCAGGCATTCAAAATAGTCAATGGGAATTTAAATATCCTCATTTTTTGAGGAGTAACATTCGTTCGAACCAAGGGGTTTGGTTCAAACGCGTCCCGGCGCGCACTTTCACTTTCGAAACAGCTGGCATTTGGAGTAACGCGTTGGCAAGATCATGCTAGTGAAGTGCGGGATATTTAAATCCCTGCTTTGCTGACTATTTCGAATAGTTCGAACTAGGGTGCAAGTGTAGACATACCCTTAGAGAAAAACTAGGGATTTTAAGAAAGGAAAAAAATGCTTTCTCCTGAGGTCCAAAATGACTATGCCAAGCTTATTTCAGAACTGACTCAGGAACTGCAGAAAAGGCTGATGTATCACTAGAGATCTGATTGGTCTTTTGTCTTCTACACAGTGCCAGATGAGCAAAGGGAACTGGAAAGGAAGCAAAGTCAAGGCCCATGTGACATTGAATAAAATAAGTTCATAGAGAATTTTAGGACAGGCATGATGACAATGTTTTATTTCAGAATGAAGAAAAAATAAAGGACAAACCTTTTCTCACTCTTCGGAAATGCTTTGTTGTACATTTGTACAGTGCTTAACGCATTGGGACCCTGCTCAGTTTGGGGCTACTGAATGTTACTGGAATGGAAACAATGGGCTCTCTGAAGTCAACAGATTCACCCTGACTTGTGGTTTTGGTCCAAAGCCCACTGAAACAATTCCTGGAGCCTGTTTTGTCTTCTTCAAAACTACTTATAAACTTCGGCTGGTTTAGAAATATTCCCTCTTCTCCCATCTTATTTTTAATTCTTTGGGTAGAGTCAAGTCACTTTTGGCAGATTTGTTTGATCCATTGGTGAAGTAAAGTTGGAGCTAACAGCAGAACTGATTTGCATTTGGCTTTTTTGTGTAAATGGTCCAAGAGAGAGAATGACAATCTATCACCAGGATAAGCAGAATTATCTATTCACAAACAAATCTCAAGTTAGTGCAGGTGAAGGTTGAACATGGGCTTCTCTGGAGTCCAGTAAACACCACATTAAATTCTCTAATGAAATTCTACATCTTTAAAAAAAAAAACAAAAAAAAAAAACCTGAGCACAGCATCCATTAGACCAGTGTTTCTGAAAGTGTTCCGCGAAATCACTTTCAGAAACACGTTAACTGGCTGCCCCCGTTTGTTTATTTACTGGCGCTGCGGCCATGGAGTCTCGTGGCTCACATTGGCTCCATTTCGTCCTTTGCAACCAAGGGGAACCACAGGAAGCAGCATGGGCCGGGCCACCACTTCCCGCGGTTCCCCTTGGCTGTAAAGGATGAAAGGAAGCCAACAGGAGCCGTGAGGCTCTGAGGCCGTGGTGCCAGTAAATAAATAAACCGGAACGGCCAGTTAACATGTTTCTGAAAGTGATTTCGCGGAACACTTTCAGAAACACTGCATTAGAATGTTTGGAAATGGACAAGGGATGCAGCCTGTTTCTCAAAGCCAGGGCTGGGCAAGATGCTGCTCCAACCCTTTGATCCAGCCCATGGACTGAATCTGGCTGCTTCCTATTTACATCCTGCTGCCCGTGCCACCAAATTTCCAGGCGGTAGCTCAGGTAGCAGGGTCCTATTTAAATGGCTCATGGTTGCCTTGCTATCCCAGTAGTGGAAGAACAGTGAGCCCTTTACATTGCTGCTATTTAAAGGGCTTGCAGCTCCTGGCCCTGCTGCTACCACATTGCCTGGGAGCCTCTGGGGTTGCTATGGCTATTTAAAGGGCTCCCAGCACATCACTATCCTGGGAGAGACCAGAGCCACAAGCCCTTTAAATAGCCACAGGAACCCCAGGCAGATGCCAGGCAAAGCAGTAGCAGCGGGTCTGGAGTCACAATCCCTTTGCTGTGTTTTTAATTCAAAGCCTCTGGCTCCAGACAATTCTGAGGGGTGGCTAGTTCCCAGCTCCACCCCTTCTGGCCTAGGCTCTGCCCCTTTTGGGGGTGGAGGGTGGAGCTGGCCTGTGACCACATAACAAAATTCATGAAGTGGCCCCCTGCAAAAATGATTGTCCATT